TGGTACAGCTTGTTTTGATTTGGTTCAATGTTGAACCACAACGTAGGTGGTTTGGTACACAAGAGACTGCGGCATGGCAAATCATAGACTTGGTATTAGGGATAGCAACTGGATAGAGAAAGCGGGGACCGGAGCTAGTTGGCTGACGGTAGGTCTGTTGCACCACAGACGTGGTGCATGTAGCAAAGGGGTGACCATGACACTCAGAGGCCTGCGCCTCGAATTAGTCTTCCAGACGCCAAGGAGAGCGAATAACGCCTCGAGTAGGACAGATGTGGTGGCAGGAGTCGAGTGAAATAGGTGGACAAGGGGTAGGGCAGACGGATTTTACGGAGCAAGAGAGAGACTGGGATAAGACTAGGAAAGAGGACTGTAGACTCTGATCAACATTCCCTGCACACTTCAGTTGAAGTGTGAAGGTTTCATGTCGGTCAAAGGAACACACGATACTATATCTAAAAAAAACACGGTAAAAGGTGTAATAGTGAAGGCATGATAGGATGATACTGGAAATGCGAATAACCCAGGGCAGAAGGGGATATACCACAATTGTTTAGCACATGTTTGGTCAAAGGATCGGCTTCACTTGTCTCTTTGACGAGTTGTTGTGTGGTGCTAAAAATGGCGAGACTCACTGACGAGGCCGATTACGATTCCGGCAAAACGTCTGGGAATGTACCACATCCACGGTCCGACTTTGTAAATGATCATGCAGACTCCGGACTAGGTGCGTTCCTCCAAGTCGTCCTACCAATATGACCATGTTGCGAAAACAAGGTCAAACAACTTCTATGCTGCCTATATTTTGCATAAAGTAGGTTTGGAGACTTTTGGTTAATTTTTAATATAAGCTCCAGCTAGCCTAGGTTACATAAGAGGATTAACGACTGATATATTCGAAACCTGTTTTATTTGAGTATTGTCGCGCTGGCCTATGCTTTTTCATGCTTCAGATGAGTCATGCTACATCAGATCTCTTTTTTGGACCGGCGAATTTCAAGTCCCAGTTTAACCATCTTTGAGTTCGGTTCAGGTTGCGCCAATCGATCGGTCCCGATCGATCGTCCGACCTTGCCTAAAGCCAGACATGCAGGCAGCCAGTCCGCTTGCAATTGGCGAAGTTTTTTGCCTTTTTTTTATTTTTTGCCGGGCACAGGAGGCCGTCATGAGAATGGCTTTTGAAAAGTGTATCCACTTTTTTGGACCTGCGTCACCTTTCCGTTTGACCATTCAAATTCCCACAACCAGGCCAACTTCATTCAAAACTGTCTTCTCCCTTATTCCTTATCACTCGATGCGTGTGTGTTTGTGCACAGCACACCTCCTATTCATGCCTGCCACGGAGATTAGAGATTATTACCAGCTGGAGCGGATAATTATAATACTTTTCAGAATGCTGTTAGACTGTCAAATGAGCCGGACCCCAAGACTTTCGTGATTCGGCTGTTTTTACCATAAAAAGACGAATTTGGTATGCATCTTGATCTTTCTACGCCAGCCCACCCGAACTGCTCCTTCATATACACTGTATCTTTTTATTTAGTCTGCTCGGGTCGTACATCAAGCCCAGGTGAGATCCGATACTAGATATAATTTACTCCCGAAAACAGGAAATCCCCATCTGTACCATGGCCCAGGGACACTTGTGACAAGGTGTCGAGATTGCTCTCTGCAATGGCTGGTTTAGCCATCCGCTTGGGCTGAGGATGAGACTTAGGCCAGGTAGAAACTGTAGTCCACTTTGACTGAATACCTTTTGAGATGTACGGGCTGTCTGAAACCCAATGGAAAGATGGGGTCTATTCATTTAATTGTGGGAAAATTCAAACACTAGTCCATCAGTGTCCCAACCGAAACAGGATGAAAATAGCTCTTATAAAAAAATGATTGGTCGATCAAATAGATATATTTTTAATCAGTTACGGACGAACATCTAATGGTTCTTTGAATCCTTTCATTTCGTTGCAGGCGGCTCAACGGACACGCGTTGAAACGGAAACATCATTGAGCTCTTTTCCATTTTTAGTGATAGTGTGTGGTGAAGCGATTCGAAGGTAGATCCCATCAGAGGGAGACAGCGAGCTCCTCCTGGCCTCACCGGGACAGTCTTGTTGACGCTGTTCCAGATGCAATCTTATCTTATCCCGTGGAAACGCGCTAAGCTTTCTTCCAGCATCATCCACTTCCGCTCTGAGCCATATTGAGTTGAAAAACTCGTCAAAACCCAGCATTCCTTCGCAATCCAAATTAGCGAATACTTCAATCATCAATTCAACCAAACCATTCTGTTTGTATTTACTGAATTGACCAGGGCAAATATAAAAAAATATGGTCCATTCACCTGATGGATCATGCATCACCTCCTTCCCCGAAAGTCGTATTCTGTTCCATACCAAATTTTAACTCTACACAAAAATATCCTTTTTTTCAATTTATCCCCAATTTCTTGCGTCGCCTGTGTGTCTGTATGTTCTGTCTTGTTATGTAGATTTGTCCTTTTTTCACTTTATGCCTCTCTAAGTGGCTATTTTTCCTCTTATTTGCCGCAGTGTGCCACTTCATTTGGCTAAGCTTTATTCATTAACTCCGAATCGGACTTATCTTTCTCGCTAAACAGGTGAACATATAATAGCATTAAATTACGCTTTCTACATCAGCTTAAGGTTTAGTTAACTATTCCCCTCCAATAATAGTCTCTTCCAGCTTCGTCTCAATTCCCAGAGACGCCTCGCAGAATCTGTCATCCTACAATTCGATTAATCTCATCCCCGTCTCTACATCAATCTGCGCAGAGCCTCCCAGTGCTGAAAACACTTCTCCATTCTCCTCATCCCATGAAACTTCTGCGGATCTACACCCCTTGGCAGACCCAAATGAAGGCTCTTCGACTGGGGATGGCCCTCTGACGACGGGTGACGAGGAAGAAGCCAGCAAACCCTTGCTTTTCAGAAGAAATACCTTCACTTTGTCTCGGCCTGATCTAATCGTCTCTTCAAGCGGCGACTTTGAGACGGTAGATGCTGAATCAGTGATACCGTCACACGAACAGCCGTCCAGATTAGTCGAGCGTTTGCTTCGTCTGAAGTCAGCTGAACCGATCGACACGAAAGAAGAGTGTTCTGATCTCATATTTCGCCAAGTGAGTCTGTGCGCGACAAGATGATTTCTGTTTAAATATGTTAAATTTTGTTGATTGAGTGAGATTTTAGCCTAGGAAGAATCTAATGCATAAGTAAGTAGCATATTTGCTCAATGGGTTGATTCAGTGCTTTAATCCATCTTGAGTGAAATTGTTTGGTGAAGAGATTCGCAGGTCGATTCTATCAGAAGATGACAGCAGACTCCTCTTGGCCAGCTGTCAATTGGCTTTACTCGAACCTTCTTGGTGACGCTGTTTTCGAGGCAATCTCCTTCGATTCCAGTGAGACGTGCCAAGCTTTCGTCCGTCGTATGACGGACATAATCAAACGAACGAAAGCTTAGCACGTTCTTACCAATGTCGAAGGAGATTGTCTCGTAAAAAACGTCAAAAAGAATGTTCCCGTAAAGCCAATCGACAGCTGGCCAAAGAGAGTTTGTTGTCTTCTTCTGGTGAGATCAACCTTCGAATCTCTTCATTAAACCCTTTCAATCGAAATGTAAGTCAGCTAAAACATTGCGAATCAAGAGTATCCTAGAAACATATCGTCTAAAGGACAAAGAATTAGTCTACTTCCTTCAGGCCTTCTGCCAAATCTTACAAATAAGATGAAATCCATATAAAATTCATGTAGCTCTTAGCACCCATGATTTTTTTGTTTCTGATGCATAAAAAGATAAGATGCAGTGAACCTTTCGGTTTTTAACTTTCTCTATTTCGTTAAAGGTGATAAAGGACTGGTAGTAGAATTTTCCCATAATGATGTGAGTAGAGCTGACGTTTCTATTGAATTTATCAGAGCCCTGCTTTCTCAAAAGTTATTCTCATTCAGGATGGACTGCAGTTTCGACCTCGAATAGGTCTTATCAACACCCCAAGCGGGAGTCGAACCGTGACAAGCTCACATGCTGTACTTTCACGATCAGCTCTACTCATATCATTGTGAAAAAATTCTACTAACAATCCTTCATCAACTTAAACAAGATAAGATGAATACATCTCATAAAACGGTTTTATGCTTGTCCTACTACTTCACTTGTCTCTTTGACGAGTTGTAGTGTGATGCTAAGAATGACAAGGCTTACTGCCAGCGAATCGTTTGGGAATGCACCAATTACGCGATTTAATTATAGAAATGATCATGCATACTATGGACTCCAGACAAAGTGCATTTCCCTAGGTCCTTCTGACAATACGAGCAAGTTGCCAAAACAGAGTTAAACAACTTCTATACAAGGAAAGGAGGCCGCGACTATACTAAAAGCCACACCATCTCGGTCTTCATGCCTTCGCGGTAATTTGGTGTTGAGAAAATTGGTGAATCTCATTTAAGAGTGAAGCTGCATTTCTAGCCGACTGGACCTAGCTAGCATGAAAATGTTCACAACTGTCGGTGGCCTTCTTTTCTGTGACAAAAGCCTCCATTTTCATATTGTATGATAGGTACAGAGAGCCATTATACTTACAATATAGAAGAGAGATGACTTGATTTTGTATTGAAATTCATAACGTAGACTTGTCGTTCAAACTGTGCTCTCATGGTGGAATGTTGTATATTGAAATTTACGCTAGCCTTCCAAATCTGAGGGGCTAAGATGGGTGGATGATCTAGAATAAACTTGAGTTGGTGAATATGCCTAAACCAAGGCCTACTTGAAACTGTAGGCCTGTATGCTAGTTCACTTTTGGGATGTAATCATCACTTTGTAGCACCACTTTAAAGCAGATTTACTTCTGAAGTTGTTTGACCTTGTTTTCGCAACTTGATCATATTGGTAGGAAAACTTAAAGGAACGCACCTATTCCGGAGCCCATAGTATGCATGATAATATCTAGAGTCTGACCGTGGACGTGGTACACTTCCAGACGTTTCACCGGAATCGCAGTCGGCATCGCCAGTGAGCATTGCCAATCTTAACACCAAAATATAACTTGTCAATAAGACAAGTGAAGCCAATCTTTTGACGAATTGTCTGCTAAACAATCGTGGTATCTCTCCCTCTGTCCTGGACTATTCACCTTTCCTATATCCTGGTACCACCCCTTCACTGTCATCATTTCTTGATTGCTTATTTAAATGTGTTATGGTGTGCTCTCTTGAGCGGCTCTCATGACAACTCTCCACTCTCCACGTTGGCTTTCTCATTCCCTCACCCCCGTTCACCCTTGTGCTGTGAATGTGGATCAGAGTCTGCCCTATTGTTACGCCGTCCTTTCCTAGGTCTTATCAGAGTCTCCCTCTTGCCCCGTCCGATCCGTCCGATATCTCCCTGGTTCAAGTATTTCACCCGAGCTCTGCCACCCCATCTGTGCT